CCTATACCATGATGTTTGATAGAAATATGTACCAAACAAGGGCAAAAAATAGCACATTTTGAAATCCATTTTTCTTTTTCCGGGCTCTTTTAACATATTAAAATTTTTTTGTTTGAAAGAGCATGTCAGGGTATAGGGCACGACAGAGTCCTTTTTTTTTTTACAATTCTTACTTTTTAAGCAGAGAAAAGGGATCACACGTTCAATAATTCAGAAAATCCTCTAAACACAGGCACCAATTTACATAATTGTTTGCGTATATAATAAAAAAAACAAAGCTTAATTACAAAAGGACTCTATGGTGCCCTGCATTTTGATGTCCTCTTTCAAAAAAAAAAGAATATTAAAAATATTGAATGAGCCTGGACAGAGAAATTTGGTTTGCGCGTGTGAAAAAGTATAGTCTGAGAAAAAACGAAAAACATTTTTCGTTTTTTCTGAGAAAAGCATGTTCCTGTTTTTTAAGAAGTGGATGATAAAAGTTATCAAAATTTTTACCCCAAAGCGGGATGTCGATTGAAAAACCATTTTGTTTCCGAAGGAGCAGAACACGGATTATCCCTGCATGCATTTATCCTAGTTTTCATTTTTTTTTGACAGAAATTGATTTTTTCTGAGCAGGAGGCCTTAATATGCTCTCAAAGAAGTGAATAAGTAGACTTCCAATGCTATGGGTGTGCACTGTAAAAAAAATAGGTACTTTCCTGAACCCTTCAAAAAGGTTTCGTAGGTGTCCAAAAACTTCCAAATGCGTCCGAACGATTAAAAAACGATTCTTAAAATCTATGAAATCTTAAAAGGATCTGATCGCGGATACACGGTCTGAACCATCTCCTACGAAATCTTTATAGCTTCCTAGTAAACATAATGATTTCGTATAAAACCATAGTGCGAAACCATAAGGCTTACTAGGAAACTAGAAAGGTTTCATATTTTCTTACGAAGCCTTTTTTCGCTGTACGGAACTCGAAAAAGGTTTCGTAGGAGATGGTTCGGACCGTGTATCCGCGGTCAGATCCTTTTAAGATTTTGTAGGTTTTAAGAATCGTTTTTTAAGTGTTTGGACGCATTTGGAAGCTTTTAGACATCTACGAAACCTTTTTGGAGGGTTCAGAAAAGTACCTGTTTTTTTACAGTATGGGTGGGTGGGGTGAGTGGGTGTGGGTAAAGGTGTAGTTCTTTCTTACACCCACATCCTTGTCTATTAGCCCATAACCTATATGCTATTTCAGGTTCTTTAGGACATTTAATACGAAATTCCCATGTTAAATCTGGTAATGGTTCACTATTATCTGATAGTTCAATCATTTTACCTGGTGTATCTTGTTCATATTCAAGTTCATCATCAGAACATTCAAGTACTTGAAATATACCACTATCAGCTGTTTTTGATGTTAGTATAGGTGGTGGTCTAATAGATAGGAAAATGAAGAATTCTTCTTGATTACATTCGAAGTATCTCAGAGACATCTTTCATGTGACTAAAACCAAAACCATGTTAAAGAAATTAATAAACCAGCGGAAATGTTTTTTTTAGCATAATAAGTGATGATTTTTATTTTCCTTACACTCGAATATAATACAAATTTGAAGAGTAAATATTCATCCTTTTTATTAGATTATTTACCAGATGCAAAACATCTCAGTTAAAATACAGAAAATAAAACTTTATGTTCTCATTACAATCGAGTCATTTTTAATTCAATCTATAAAACAAACGAATTGATTATCCATTTAAGTATATTAGAAAGAGTATTTTAACTGTTGTGTATCTCATCGACGAATTCTTTGTGATCATCTGTGTTTATGAGTTTCGTTTCAGTGATCATTTCTTACGCTTACTCTTTCTTAATGTTTATCATATACGTATAGCATCTATTCAGTTATGATGTAGGCATCATGAATTAGGACTTAATCTATTCTTAGCTAATAAATTAACTTCAGAGGAAACCTTGCCATGTTTAAAATCGCTTTTTGACTGAGATGATGTTCATTTGATGAGTATTCAGGAGTAAGAGAAGAGTCTAGAATGATTCGGTTTCTCAGGATTTCATGCTTGATATGTTCGAAATTTTCCTAGATTTTTCAACAAAAAACTATGTTCGAACTCAGGTTACGTAGAAAAACAACCAAGTTCTTATTGAGATTAGTTGATTGTACAAGTTTTAGTATTTCTTTCTGGAGATGTAAATACATGAGCAAAATTTGCTTTTACACATAAGAGAATTTCGAATATTCAATATCTCGAGATAGGAAATACTAGGAAAATTACAACTTGTCAAGTGACTCATTGAGAGCTTAGTTGATTTTCTACATGACCTGAGTTTGAACATAGCTTTTTCTTGAAAAACACAGCAAGACTTGGATAATCTCAAAAACCAAGGCCCAGACGACCAAATTTTTATTACTCACGAGTACTCATCAAATGAACATTGTTTGAAGCGAAAAGTGATTTGACGGTTAGAGAGAGGCTCTTATTAAGTTATTAACTTAAGTTAGTTAGTAACTTAGCACATCACCATAACTACTAAGTGCTATTAATATCAATATACAGCATATGAGAACTTTTTTAACACTACGGGTATGATTTCAGAGTATTGCTGATAGTCATCAGAGACCGTCAGCCGGACAGAATGTCCTGCAGGGTGGACGGTGAAATAGTATTTCTTGGTAACGCTTTTTTCATAAGTCATTTGTTTCATATTTTTAATCGATTTCAAAGATATTCAACACCTCTTATCAATTTATGAGTACGACAGGTAATTAATAATAAAATGAATGTCGACCTCCTGCTAAATGCTGATGAAAGACTTCAATTCAATAAAAATTAGAAGTAACCAAAATAGAGACTTAAAATCAATTTATAATTGAATAGGACAGAACAAAAAAAATGTCTTGTGACGGTCTCTGATAGTTACAGCTTCATAAATGCAGATAACTAATTTTGACGAAGAGCAGGCCGAATTTTTTTGAGAACTTATGAGAAAACCTTCCGAGCTGCATTTTTCTGATTCTTTTTTGCGTATAGATACTACATTGTATTCTAACTCTTGGCTTTCGAAAAAAAATCATATGTTTGAATTATATCTTCATTTAATCTTTTTAAGATTTTTACTAGAATACTAAGTAGTATTTATAAATAAAAAACAAAATCACTGAATATCTAAGGAGATCCTCTCTAGTTGATCGAAACAAAAAGCAAATATTGTTTCTCTTACATTTGATGTGGTTGAATATCATAAAATCGAATTGGATATAGTCGAATACGAAGATTTCGATATTTTAAACTATAAATAAGTGTCATTAAATCAATTTGTGATGCATTTTTTGATGGCGATGTACTTGTAAATGTATTTATCATTGTACTAAAACGAATAAATAATCCATAGGGTAATGTATCATGTCCAGCTGATATTCGACTCTTTGAAAAAATAAAAGATATATTTATAGAAAAACAGTTTCTACAATGAAAATTAACTAACATATTCAACTTTAATTTCAATTGCTAGACAAAGATTTCGGAAATGTTTTACAAATAAACCTTATCTACTACTTTTTATTGTATTTTCACTTTGTGTTGATTCTCTATTTTATTCATCTGTTAAATTATTATCTGATAATGTACTTGAACGTATAGGACTAAAAAATGTAAATCAAGATGAAATAATTTGATTTTTAAACGTATAATAGGTTTTGTTTTTGTTTTTGACGAATAACGAAAAACTAGACATCCATCTTTAACAAAAATAAAATAACTTCCTATTATATAATATAAATTTCTAAATATAATTGCACCAGATATAAATGACATTGAAAATGAATCAAATTTAATTTGTGTTGAATCTGTCATATTATTGTTAAATAAACAATAATAAGTAATGGAATTTGGTCACGATCAGTTTCCAAATGATCAGAAATTGTGTTTGATATTACTTCTAATGTTGATGGTATTATTGGGTTTAAAATAGGATAAGATTAATTATTAAAGTGCTTCAATGTACCACAACGAAAAATTTATTCAAGAAAAACAAAGACAAGTTTTTTATTATTATTATTATTTGCATCTTTTAATGAAAAATGTTCTTTTTCAAAAATGCAAAATAAAAAAAAAAATTCTTAGCTCCATCTGCAAGTAAAGCACATAAACAAAAGAAAGACGAGCAACTTTTGAAGAATGGCGTAACAGATAGACAACATGCTTTTTTATCTTACAAAGTATCTTCAAGGTATTCTGTTTTTTTCCGTAAAGTACAAAACACAGTGCTTTTCTATAATTGTAAGTACCTTAAGCTCAAAATACTACGATCAGATCGGATCATTGATGAGAATACTTGAATAATCGCAATATCCTCTAAAAATCGGGAATAAAAATTGGAAAAAATCGCGATAATATCGCCGATTTTTGCTCGATTTTGATGAGATGGGTATATAGCTATGACGATGTGTAAATAGGTATGCAGGTATTTCAATAGCTGTGAAGGTTTGTTTAAATAGAAAAATGTTGAGTTAAAAAGTATTTTTTTTGAAAGGATATGGATGCAAAGAAATAAAAAACGTTGAATGAAATATGTATAGGTTTATTTGCTGACTTCTACACATTGAAGAAATGAAAAAAATGAATATATCCAATTTTGTTTACTCTATTAGAAAAAATTACATCCAAAAGAATAAGAAAATACAAGAAAAAACATATTAATTGTTTTTAGCTTTGTGTTTGGCCACCCACGTATCAACTCCAGTTCATTGTAATAAAAGATTTTCATTTCGTGTGCGGGTGTTGGTCAATGTTGATGTTTGACATCCGGATCGTCGAATACGGAGGCCATATACGATCACGATACGACCGTATACGATCATGATACGACCGTATTACAATCGTATATCTTCTTGACCGTATACGGAGAAGTATGATCGTACATAGAGAAAAACGGAGCAAAACGGTGATCGTATACGACTTCCGTAAACGAAGGTAGTAAATGAGTGTGTTTTTCTCCGTAAATCACCGTATATCTCCGTATATGATCGTAATACGGCCTCGTATGAATCGTCGTATTTCTCCGTATACGGTCGTTTACGACCGTGCTTGTTTGACCTGGGGTACTAGTATTACGAAAAAAAGATTTTTTTCAACTGGAATCTTCATGAATTTTTGCATTTTGATCTTTTGATATTCGAGTTTGCATTCGTTCACATATATGATTAACAAAAATTTCAACGTGGTCAAGACGTGGTTCTCTAAATAAATACAAATAGATATAAAATGTTTCTTTTTAAAAGAATTTAACAATTCAATTTGTTCAATCAGCAATAATATCTAGATTTCTCATTTGACATCCATCATCGAAAAAAAGCTATTTGTTAATGACACAAGGTTAGTTTTATATTTATATGTGGCATCAATTTTCTTATTATCAGATTTTGTTTCCTCAATGCTTAAAATAGCAGTGAAAAGAAAATGTTTATAGAAATCACTATCCTATGATTTCATAATTATTTTCACCAGTTGTCACTATGTGCAGTGAAATGGATGTTTCTCTTCCATTTATACAGATCGTTCTAACACAAATAATTTCTCTCTTAAGAGATACCGTTTAGAATTGTTCTCTTTTTAGAAAAAAAATATCTATAGTTACTTCCACTTTAAGATAACCAATTCACTCGATTCTAAGTCAATCATAAAACTTTCGAAAACAACTTACACATATGTATCTAATTGGATCTTTTTGTATAGTACAGTTAGAAAAAGATTTCATAAAGTCGATTCTTCTTAACATAAGACTCGACTGAACCACAAAAAAACGAAAACTATGTTTCAAAATATTGAGCGAAGTTATTCGATTAAATCATATGCTTAGTCAGTTAGGTAAATCAAAGTTTATCTACTCTATGCCGTTTTTTGATTTTTCAAAACAGAATCAAAACATTATCCTAGTACTGCTTTTTCCTGTGTCTCCAACTGTTGTATATGATCTATGCATTCATGTCTCAATAATCCATATAACTAATTGACATCAATAGCAAGTTTTATAACCAATAATTTCAATTTTATTATTTTCTTTCATAGCAATCAATCTGAAACTACCAAACGCCTTATAGCATATATGTTGTAAACTATAATTAAGCGTATACGAAGTGCTCATAAAAATGAAAGACTCGATTAGATATTCTATTTTTTTTCCCTTAAAATTTTAATGCTACTAATATTCATATTTAGCTCAATGAGTTTCATAATTTGACAAGAAAAAAACCAATCTAGAAGGGATGATAAATGAGATGCAATATGATCACGATCATCCTGTTGAACTATTATTTAAAGTAGAATTTGAAGCAAAGCCTCTAATTTCATACCGTGTTTCGTCGGGCATCATTGCATCATCATTATGATCAGAAACAACGATCAGTTGACCTAAATAAATAAGAATAATTCAAATTTTGATAAAATTTATTTAATCTATACCATTTGTAATTAGTTGCTGTTGCTCTTGTTGGTCTTCTTTATCTTCAATAAGTTTCTAGCAATAATATATATATATATTGACATAGATTCAATGATAATTTTCTTTACATACTCGTTTAATAGCAGGTTGAAATAGTGACGATTCCTCTGGATTTGACGATGGCATATCTAAATTTTAATTTCAACAAAATATTATTCTTTTCTTTAAAAAACTTACAAGTATCCATTGTTTCCTTTCGTTTTATAGGACGTATTAGAGCTCGTCCAATTTTGCTGGCATAGCTCATTATATAATGTTCATGTGCTTGTTTTACAAGTGCTCGAATTTCAATAGCAGCAAGATCCATGATAATTTGTTCATCGTGACTAAAAAGAAAATCGATATTACCATCAATGAAAGTTAATAGATTGTTTTAAAACATTCTTCGTAGAAAAACTTTCGAAAAAAATCAAACTTACCGAATTGCAAAACGATATCTTTGTGCACCGGGTGAATCAACAGAAATGTAGCAAGCCAATGAATTTTTTATTTTTTTTATATTACAATTCTACAGAAAAATATACTGTGGTAAATATTAATCGATAGTTATATATAAATATTGTTCACTTTCTCTTTCACTTAATAAATATCGTTCAATATCAAATATATCAGGAGAAAGACTATTGAACAAAGAACCAAAAACTATCACTTGATGTGAATCAAACTAAAATATTCATACATAAAAAAAAAAGTAATTACATTCTTGGCAGTTTTATCATTATGTTCAAATACATTTAAATCATTATGTATTTGACTGCAAGCACCTAAAAAGAAAATTTTTTAAATTCAATTATTAATAATTAATAACATACCATGAAACTGATATCAAAAGAATATTAAATACTATTGTCGTTTTCACTATATGCAGGCGAGTTTAGAATTCAATTGAGATTGGAATAGCTTTATTCATATTTTTTAATAAGAAGTATTGTTATCACATAAAATTCGAAATATTCTCATAATAGTGAGTATTTTCTTTATTTTTTCTTCTACAATGAGTATGAATTTTTCCTATAGCTTTTTGAATTAATGGGAACATGTGAACTTTGAATAGCTGATGAAAACAAAATATACTATCAATTTAGACAAGCAGGGGTATAAGATGGTTGTGGTTTGTCGAACACAAGTGTGCATGGTACCGTATGTTTGTTTTATACTTATGATATTGAAGTGTAAAAAGTTGTTGTAAGCACTAATTATACTGAAAACTAAATTTGTTATCCAAATACTGTATTCGATAGTATATGATGCATGATTATTCTCCGTGAATTTTCGACCGAACTTTCTGATACAACGGTAAAAATATCCTGAGAAAAGATTAAAGTTTTGTTGTTGACGGATTTTAATGTGTCTTGATTTTGTGAACTCTTGATTTAATTAATCACTCAGCTGTTTTGTTAAGCATTATTACTATTATAGATTTTTTTCTAAGAAAATTTTTTCTATTTTTTGACGAATTCGAATCCAACTGAATTTATATAAATAAGAATAGAAAATCTTGTTTTTTAATATTTTTATGTATTCTAATCTCAATCACAACTGAAACTTCCATTTCAACTGTAACAATATATGCGCTTTTTTCTTTTTCAAATTAAGGTGGCAATAGAATAATTTGTTTTAAGGGAATTAAAATTAAAAAAGGGTGATAATTTCATGAAGTTTATTTTAATAGTTATTTCATAAGCAATTATTAGAAAGCATAAAGAATAGAAAATCAAAACTAACTCATTAAATAGTATAAATCAAAACATATACCAGACGTCCAAGCAGACCTACTTGTAGAAGGCCTGGCCAGCTTGTGCCTCTCATTCTCTTCGACCTGCCTGTCTACTTTTCTTTTACTTCAATATCATGATAATAATAAAATATATTTAGCTGTTAATCGTTTTAGGAAGTCCAGTAAGCCGATGGAATGACTTTAGATCATCAAAATCAGAATTCTCTAATGTCAACATAAAAAAATAGTTAAAATGCTTACTATACAGAAGTATTCTTGTCTTGTATATCCATCATATCACGTAAGATTAAGAGCAGAAAAAAGTTAACTTCAGGAAGTTTATTGTAACAAAAAGTATTCATGTTTCACGATAAGAATACTTCCATCGAGAAGTGATCGAATTTGAACAGAAACATTCAGCATGACTCTAGGCTGTTCATTATAATGAGATATTATTATTGTTGAGGGTGTGGGTGTCGGTGTAGATTTAGATGAATAGATGGCTTACACCCAAGCCCACACCCACACCCTTGACTTATTTTTAGCATAACAAGTTCAGGTATTTCACACGTAAAACAAGATGATATAGTCTTGAATGTGGTACAAATACTACTTTATTATGTTAGTTCTATCTCCTCTGAAAGTTTCATCCTTTTCTGATACATCATTCACGAGATACTTGGAAAAGGGAAGATGCTCAACAACAAGTTCTTAGATTGCATTTTTTGCAAAAAAGATCAATTGATTGCTTAACGGCTCATGGGCGTTCCAAGTTTATTTTTATGCCAGGTTGTAGACCAAAGTATGATCTTTACCGCTGAATAGCTCTGCAAAATAGTTAGGGTCTGTTTTGGGAGAAAATCGAGGTCAAAATTGATTTTTGTTCCAGTCATCCTGCACATATGCTTTGTTCTAGAGAGCTGAATTTTATAGAGTAGTTAGATAACATTGAGACGTGCTTGTGTTCAAAATTTTAGGTCTCTATCGTTCTCTAATCTGAAGATATGAGGAGCGAAAATTGGTTAAAAATTTGATTTTTCCTCAAATCTTGGAATCCATAAAATATCAACCACTCAACCATTGGAACTGAAGTTTATGTTACACGTAAAACTTAGTTAGTTATTGGTGTGTAAAAAATTTCAGCTCAAAAGGTTGATATTTTGTTGACTGTTTTGGATGTCCAAATTCGTCCCTCGGAAAAGTGAGGTTGATAGTGATTTTATAGTGTTTTCAGTAAAACTGCAATAAAAAACGAATGGTTCAATCTTTTTTGAATTGACTTTCACCAAATTCTATCAAACACTTGCCTCTATCACATATGAGAATATGAGCAAAATCGAAGAATATCGATTGAGCACTGTCATAGAGAATCGACTGTGGCTTATATGGAATGGTTCATATATCTTAGAATTTGATGAGACTTTTTCGATTTGATGACTAAGTATATATTTATAATAGATCTATATAAATCTATTATATAAATAATGAATATTTTCAATAATAATGAAATTTTTCAAATGAACAACAAGCATCTTGATTTGAGTTGATCAATATGAACAAATAATTTGCAATTTACATTTATTAAAATAATAAATAATGTATGGTAAGTAAGTCTTATAGATATTATCATCTTTATTAATTATTTTCAAATTTAAGATGATTTAAAATGGAAAACTTTGTTTTTTATAATGATTTCCTTATAAGATCAATCAATAGATTTTAATTATTTAAGTTCATATTAGAAAATAAAGAAAAAAAATCTATTTAAATAAATTCATTTGGAATATGTTAACAATAATTAACAAGTTTATAATTATATCAATATATTTTAGATTTTGTTTCAATGAAAATGATTATTTCAATTAATATTCGATGTTTATCTTGATTTTTTTTTTCGAAAATTTCATTGTATAAAACATCGTAAATGTGATAATGTCGTATTAGACATTCCAAACTAAAACGATTGAAATATCGTTTTATTATTTAGTATAGTTTTTATTTTGTTTTTATTGTGAAAACATCGATTGATATCGATGAATATTTTCATAAATAAAGTAAAATATCCTTAAAGATCTTTTTATTGAAACATTTGAATGAAATAAGTATGAATTACCTTCATAAGAGTGTGATAAAAATATTCTTATGAAATATAATGATTCACGTTCGATATATTAGTCTCTCTCTCGCTGACGTCAAACTTCGCAAATAAGTATTATGTTGAAGAAAAAACACATAAGATCAATGATGCATATCCTATATATATAAGTAAATACATATGAAAAAAACGAATATATTAGGAATAAAAGAAAACATGTTTATGTGAAAATAAAATTCTAAGACGAAATGGCTTCAAATGGAGTAGCAGAGCAAGATATTGATCAAAGAGAAACACCTATTCGACTTACAGTACATTTTGATGATAGTGTTCATAGAGATGACCATCGATCATCATTGATATCTCTCAATAATGACAACAGTAATGCTTTGTCCAACTCAATTCAATTAAAGCAACGAGTGAATACTCGTCGAAAGTCTGGTATACTTAAACGTCGAGAAAATACTCTAACAGCATCTGATGCACCACATATAATTTTGTCCGATGAAGGTCTTACAACTGGTCGAGTATCACCTTTTCTAAATTTTTCTTTATTTCTCAGTATGACTATTCGTTCAATTGGTGTTATATTTGGTGATATGTTAAGTAGCATTTAGTAGAAAAATAAATTAATATTTTTATGTTTTTTGTTTTTTTCAGTGGTACATCTCCTTTATATGTTGTTAAAACAATATTTGATTCTCCCCCAGAAGAAAACGCAGTAATTGGTGTTATATCATTAATCGTATGGAGTTTAATCGTTGTTGTTTCATTAAAATATACAATATTTATATTAATGGCAGATAATCGAGGTGAAGGTGGTTCACTTGCGTTATGTAGCTTATTGACTGGTCAAACAAGTCGTCTTCATTATCGTATTAAACGATTTGTTAGTATTATATCTATTCTTGCTGCTTGTTTATTAATTGGTGATGGTGCTTTAACTCCAGCTGTAACTATTCTATCAGCCTTTGAAGGTTTAGCTGTTGCTAAACCATCACTTGAACCATGGATTCTACGAATGTCTGTTATTATAATAATATTATTATTTTTACTTCAAAGATGGGGTTCATCTCGTATTGGAATTGTTTTTGGACCAATTATGATATTATGGTTTATTCTATTAGCAATCATTGGTATATGGCGTATTACATATAAACCTGTTATATTAAAAGCATTTAATCCATGGGAAGCAATGCATTATCTAATTCAATCGAAAAAACATGCTTTCTATCAAATTGGTTCAATTTTTTTATCAGTTACTGGTTTAGAAGCATTTTATGCTGATTTGGGATATTTTGGACGATGGCCTGTTAGATTTTCATGGTTTATCTTAGTTTTTCCATCTGTTTTACTTAACTATTTAGGACAAGGCGCACTTATCATTTCTCATCCAACGTTTATTGATAATCCGTAAGTTAATTTGAGAAAACTAACCCTATTTTATAGTCAAACAAAAACCATTATTAAGATATATATGCTCTTTAGGTTTTACCATTCAGTACCAAATTGGGCATTGTGGCCTGTTCTTGTATATTCCGTTATATCATCAACAATAGCTTCACAAGCTATTATAACTGGTTCATTTTCTTTAGTTTCTCAAGCTGTTGCTTTAGGCTTTTGTGTTCCATTTACTGTAATTCATACATCTCGTTCAATAATCAGTCATATTTATGTTCCAGCTGCAAATTACTTTCTTTTAGCTCTTACTCTTGCAGTAACAATTGGTTTTCAAACAAGTAATCGTATAACCGATGCCTATGGAGTAACAGTATGTAGTGTTATGGTTATAACAACAATTCTTTATATGATGGTTATACGTTGGACTTGGTTAAAACCAATTTGGCTTGTTTTTTTATTTGGAATTTTTTTAATTATCGATTTATATACATTGGCTGCAATTTGTACAACAAAAATTGCTTCAGGTGGTTGGGTTGCTATTATTATTGCATTGGTTCTTTTTATATTTTCATTTAGTTGGTTTTATGGAAATATTCGTCTTAATAATTATTTATCAAAAACTTATGAAACACATTTAATAGAAAATTTACCAAATCGACTTGGACTTACAGATATTAATCCACTATTAAATGATGATGAACAAACAAATATAAGTTCAACTAATGACGATGATGATAATAATAATGATGATGACGATGATGAAAATGAAAAAGAAAAAAATAAAAAGAGGATAAAATTGTTAAATAATGATAAAAAAAGTGATTCAATATCAATTGTAGAAAATCTTCAAAATTCTATTTTAAGAGAAAATATTGAAGAAAATAATATCTGTGAAATAAAAAATGTTATAACTCCAGGTGTTGGTTGTTTTCTAACACAAACAAAAAAATCTAGTCCATATATATTTGAAAATTTTCTCAATAAAATGCATGCTCATCCACAAATATTAATATTTCTTAAAATCGAATACGCAAGAGTGCCTAATGTTGATGATGATCAACGTTTAATTATTCGAGCTTTTGGAAAATATATTTATCATATAACATCAATATTTGGTTATACAGAAACAAATATAAATCTATTTAATATTCTTCATTTAGCACAACAACTTTATCATGTTCCTATAACAATAAATCAATCAGAAATAACTTTTTTTCTTCCTTATGAAACAATACATGTTAATAAACATGGATGGACAAGCTGGTTAAGGCTATTTCCATTATATATATATTCTATATTAAAACAAATATATCCTGGAATACCATTGAATTTTAAATCAATACCCAATGATACTATTCATGTTGGAATTATTGCTGACTGTTAAAATTTATTTGAACTTTTAAAAACTTTTTCAATATGTTATTTATTTCCTTTTTATTGCTGTTTTCATCTGTATTTTTATTTTCAAAGTAATAAAATAAAAAAAGACTCTTTACTTATATAAATATCAATAGAGTCAATTGGGGTGAATCGGCACAAGAAATGTTTTTTTTTCACTTGCATACCTAAAAACTTTTTTTAATTTTGAAGATTAAAAAAAACGTTTGCTACATAAGTTGTAGAGAAAACATTTTTCTGTCGATCTATGTTTTTATTTTTTTAAAATCTCTGCCGGATATTGTTCAATTTGAGTATTTGTGAGATCCACGATAGGGTATACCCATTCATTTCTACTACGGTGAAGTTGTACTTAACGGATATATGCAGTGCGAATAGACGCTTCCAGAAGTTTTTAGCATTAACAGTAAAATCAAATTTGTGAAGCCATTTCAAATCATATTTCGATTGGAAGAATATCACTTAATAGCTCAAACATTTCTCTACAATTCTATACTAATTTCATCCTCTGAACTTCAATTAAGTTCACGCATTACTGTTTCTACAAAAAGCACCGGAAAAAAATGAACGTCCAATTATTCCATGTGGCATAAATGGGCACTACAACGTATATGTGTGGAATGAATGGACATTTTCAGCCATTTTTAATGAAACAATTAAAATCTAATTTTTAAAATATTTGAACATTCTTTTTGATAAAAATGTTTGTCAGATCTAACTGGTCACATCTATAGCTTTCACCATGAATTGACTAGTGAAAAATTATGAGTAATGCGAGAAATTTTACTTGAAAGTCGCTTATTTTTAAAATATTTTTCAAGTAATTCAAGTCTTGACTGAAAGAAAAAGTAATGAGTGTCCCCTAGAATAAACAATATTTGTTCACTTCTATGATTGTTTTTATCGTTACGCTAAACTTGATCAAGAGAAGAGAATATTCAAGTATAAAAACAATGATCTACCAGTGAAACAATGATCAATCATTGAGAAAAGAACAATCGTTTGAACGAGTTACACTGCGATGGAAAGTTAATGATTGACGAATGAACATGCATTGTTTTATGAGTGTCACGTCTTGTGTTCTGCTTTCACTTCATTGTATTAAATCACTTGAACAATTGACGAAGCCACGAATATACCAGCGTAAGACGGACGAGAAATATACAAGAAATGATCTCGATCAAGCACTTGTGAATATTCCAGAAAAATAAAATGTGGGTGAAAAACGTCGCTGTTCATTATCACATATCTATTCGAATACTCTTTCACAGGCTTGTGGAAAGTCGAACAAGTGCTGGTCGTAGTGGAAAGGAATTCTTACAAAAGAAGAAAAGTTAAATCTGATGGACACGATTTTTCTTTATCAACGATAGCGGTGTCTCATTTCACCATCAACCATCATTGGATTGACCGAACTGTACATGCAACAATTGGGAAAGCCTGTTTCTTTAAAATCTATACTTCAAAACTGGTTTTATGGTTTTGTGCTATAATAATCGGAAGAAATTAAATTAGACAAAATAGTAAAACTTGAAAAAATTCTTTCAGAAGCTTGTCGACGAGAAACTGTAGATGAGTGTTCTGTTTTACTATGCACCTTTCTGAGTATTAATAACAGGTGCATTCTAACTCTTGAAATATAATGTTTCAGATCTTTGTTTCCATTAACATTTGAAGGAAGTTCTTACGAATCAACGTGTAATGGTGGTCAACGAATTCATTTTGTTTTCAACGAGCACCTCCTCGAATAAAATAAAAACAATTGGTCGATCGAAATTTTGAACAAGGTCTTACCAATGTAGACGTTCTAGGATGATTGCAACAGAAAGAAAAACTCAGACAACATAAGTCACATGCTGCAGCAAAGAAAAATACGATTGATGGAGTGGTGAAAAGGCGGCCAGTATTTTCTAAACATCGTTTATTGTCTCATTTTGAAACTGTTCTTGCAATAATATACATATTTCGATAGAGTGCTCGAAGGAGAAATGTCGATAGCAACTCCAAAATTATGGAATATTTAATTTCTCAAATTAGATCTATTACCTAAGATGTTAAAGAAAGATGAATTTCCCTGACATGGACATGTTTTTGTTTTTTTTTATTCACTACAGTTATGCTTTTTAAGAAATGATTTGATAATCTGAAAGCTTGTGGAAACCCTGAATAATTTCCACATAGATAATTTGTTTGTGTCTTGCTCGATTTCCTAGTAAAATGGTACAATCTCATTCAGTCGTAAAAGCAATTAAATTGTTTTAAAACCCCATGACAGTTAATGTCTTTTCAATAACTCAAGTCTGACTAAAGAAAAATCAATGAAATATTTATTGGTGATAAATCTAAATAATTTGGATTTATGAGAAAAATTTCCGAAAATTTGCATTGATTATTGATGATAGATAGACTAGAAATGAGTTCGGTTAGCATTTTTGCCAAACCGAACCGAATTTAACGGTTCGAAATTTTAAAAATTTCTAACCAAACTGAACTGAATCGAAAAGGTCTCCCATTAAATCGACTGTAACTGATCGAATTTTAAAAATTTTGTAATCGAACCAAGTTTAGAGAAAGTGAAGTTTATCTTATGTTAATTAGGGTATTGGTGCCTTATATATTAGTACGAAATATTCAAGTACTACATAATCAAGCTTTTGCTCATTTTGATTTCTTATCCTCCTTGAATAATCCAATGGCATCTTTTTCCGACATTCCCACTCCCTCTTTATGTAATCATTACAGAATTTGTGTTTAATACATAATTCTACTGTTAAGTAACGAACACACAATGTTTTCCTTTTTCATGAATGTTGTATCATATAAACTTCAAAAAGCATCAGAGATTTTATGAAAATTCAAGATTGAGCTTTCAATTATTTCCCCTCATGTCTATCATAAATTATATATTTATTATAGACAATGGATTCAACAGTTTCTAACTAAAATAACAATATTTATCTCTTTTCTTAGTACTTTCAATAGTCTTTTGAATGATAATTGTTTATTTTTTAAGAAATAAAAAAAAATATTTCATTGACTTCAATCTTTGTCTTTTTCCAGCAAATTCATATTTGATAATATAAAGAAAAAAAACACTTTTCTAATAGTTTTATTTGAAATAGACACTGCAGAATAGCAGAGTATAGATTCAATCCATTGGCTGAATGAAATTTGATATAAAAATATTCTAATCATTAAATATTTTGATCTATGTCATGAAAATCATATAACACAATGATAAATTTCAACAACACCATCCAAATAAGACTTTATCAGAAAATCAATAGTAGATTCTCACAAAATGGACACTACTAACGAAATAATTGATAAACCAACTATTTATTTGTGACATTATTAAATTCTAAAGACAAATTTTGGATAAAACTAAGATTTTCAAAAAAGTTATTTATTCATTAATCAATCGAGATTTTCGTCATTAACATTTTTTTTTTTGTTCGTAACCATAGATTTCGTCATGCATAGAAATCCGAAAGAGACTCATAAGTCTTAATTCGATTATTCATGGTGTAGAAAACGACCAAATCCGAGATTTGATCAGACTTTCTCAGAAATCCAATTGATATTTCTACATATATGATGTTATTGATATTGAGAGACCTTTTTTAATAAAATGCTTTTGCCAAATTTAGCAGAGACTGAATAAGATATTGATCTGTAGCAATATAACTTTTTTTAATTATAGAATATCTTATAAAAGAATTATTTAACATTTTGAATAAATCGATCATTGTCAAAAATATAAATGAAACAATATGATTGAGAAAATGAAAACAATTGAATAAGAATATCAATCTTATAAGAGAACATCATCGAATTGTATTTCATATATTTTAATTAATAATTGTTAAGATAAAATTCGTTGTATTGATATTTAATTGCATATTGAAAGTTAGACGATAAAAACGATATAAAATTAGACAAATAAAAATATAAAATCAGAAGACGTGTTAATATATGTTTTTATAATTTTTGATTGAAAAATAATATTATTTCTGTCATTTAAAACAGATTAAATTAAATGTCATCTCAACTATTACTTTGCGCACGATTTTTATCAATCCCGATATTCAATTCAAATTAAAAAAATTCTAAATCAATTATTGTTGAATTCATTCTCATATATGAATTTGTTATTCGAATCAATAAAAATGATATTATTTAGCAATAAATTCAGATCATCAAGAACAAATCAATTAATTAAACTGAATATCTATTCGTTAATATTAAATAAAAATCTTATAAAACTCATATTAAAAAATATTAAAATAACAAAATCAACTATTTAATAAATATAGTTTATTGTTATTTTCACTGAGAAAAAAAAATATTTCCTTGATGATACTCTTTGTCTTATCTGATTTCGTTTTTTTTTTGAAAATATTTAAAACAATGAAAAGTTTTTGTAAATGAAAAGATAAATCAGTCTATATATTGAATTAGCTAAAAAATATTTCAGTTAATTCAGTCTATACAAACATTATCTTTGAAATTTTACAATATAAACTCGGTCTTTTCTTTATCAATGATATATATATATGCAAAAATATTCGTCTGATCCCTAAACTATTCTTTTCTATGTTATCAGATCATATTATTCGTATATATAATACGTGCAAAAATGAAAAAGAAAAAAGGAATTAGAGAAAGGCTGACGATAAGGCACGGATATATATTCATCTAGCTGGACGTTCGTTCTCTTTCTTATTTTACTTTATTTATTTTTTTCTTTTTTTTTGTATCTAAATCGAAATGGAAGTATCGATATTGAAAGAAAAAAAACAAGTAGATTCAATTGAAAATATGTTCAAAGAAACTAATCAACAATGTTTGTCATTTATCTTTTTTTGTTTTGTTAAAAGCTTAATTATTTATTGTTTATTAAATGAATAGATAATAACAATATTGATTACAAATGTTTACTAAAATATAATCATTATAATAAACATTTTTCTATAATTAATATTATATTTAATAAAGATGAACAAGAAAAAGATAAAATTGTTGGTTATGATTGTATTTACCAATATGAAAATATTCATATTAAAATTGAACATTATTTATCAAATCAAACTTGGAAAATAAATAATCAACAATCAAATTATGAAAAATATCAAAATTTAAATATTTTATTAGAAGATCTTAATTATTCTCGATATGTATATCTTGATCAACAAATTCAAATAATAATTAAAAGATTTGATAATTATTTTCATGGTTAATTGGCTTTTTTTTATTTCATCATCTTTATTATATAATCAGTTAAGAGTATTTATTCATATTTATATTTAGAATTAAATCAAACAGAACAAAATCAACATAATCATAATAAAACATCAACATTTTTCATATTGAAACAAGATGATAATGATCAATCAGAAAATAATAATCATAATCAATCAAATGAATTATCAATTAATAATAATATATCTATAGGATCAACTATTTTACAAGTTGATCAATCACTAACTCATTTAGATTTACCTATTCAAACATCACTATCTTATTCAAATAAAATATTCAAAAATTTAAAAAAACAAAATCAACTCGATCATATACATCAAGATAGTTCTTCTAGTTCAATTAATAGTGTCAAATATGCAAAGTTAGTTTTATTTTATAATATATTATCTCATTTTACTATTCATCGATTTATGATATAATTCTATACATACATAACAAATATACATAATCGATCATCATACAGACAATCAACAGATTTAATTATCGACCAATAAACTTTCATTCGATTATAATTATTAAAAACACAAATACGATTTGAGATATCTATCGTAGATAACACCTTTTTTAACTGACATCTAATCTATTAACAATAATATCTTTCATCATGGACAATTTCTTACGTTCAATACCCTAAACTCAACTATATATATATATATATTGAAAAATATATTGATTTTAAATTAATGCAGACAATATTATTTCAGATATTAATTCTATCCGATTTGCATTGATAGTTTTATTTCTTTATTGATATAATATCTATAAACGAGCGATGTTAGAATATAGTACAATCAACTTTTTAATCATTTTCGAAATTTATTTTCACTAAAGTAAACTAATTATCTTTTCAATAGTGCTCTTTCAGTTCATTTTTGAACTTTGATCAATATCAAATGTTCCAACTAGACCTAAATCGGATGTTTGATCACAGTAAAAAAACATTCAAATTATTACTGAGAAAACCATCTTCGACAAATTTTATTATTAACCAATGTGATAGTTAAATGATTTGATAGTCACTAAATCAAAATTTCTTAAATGAATATAGTCAAATATAATTGAATTGTCTAGGTATTGGGAATGTTTCCGTCAAATATCTATCTTGATATCGAATATAAGAGTATGAGTTAGTATTTGTTCCTTTTTAATCTCTCTCTCTCTCATTCATAGTCACTGTAGAATATTCCAATGAAAATATTTCTCGATAATATACGTATATTTCGATCTCAATCGAATTCTTTCAATTTAATCTATAAAACAAAACCTTATAATTAGTTATTCTTGGAATAGAACATTGATATCTATAAAAAAAAATCTTTATCGATATAAAATCTTAAATAAATAGTAGTCAAAAATGAGAGTGAAAGAAATTAACTCGATCATCTACGAAATAATAATTTGATATAAATTGCATAAAAACTTTTTGGTTTGAAAAGATTTGTTTCTCCATTGGGAACATCTGTTCATCGACGACGTGTTATTCAATCAATACTTTTACGTGTACAGCGAAAGTAATTATTATTTACTTGTTTTGTTTTTTTGTTTTTGTTAATATATATATATATATCTATTCGATTTGTTTTTTCGTCTTTTAATAGAAAAAAACTCTTTGAAAATCTACTTGATACATTTAAATTAAGATCAATAGAATCGATAATATATCAATTAGGTTTAGAATTTTTACGTGTTTATGATGGAAAATTTAATTATTCTCAAGGACATACAGTAAACGTTTCTTTTTATTATATTATTATAATAAAATTTAAAAAAAAATTCTTCTTATTATTTAGTTTGTTATGTATTTTGAAAAGATAACATGGTTCTTAACAATTGAAAATATTAAATGTAATTATTTATTATTAACTAAAATAAATAAATAAATTTATTTTCTTTAAATTTGTTAAGATGTTCAATGTCAATTGGGTGAATATGAACCACGTTCTATTTTGATACTTAGATATAAAAATTCATTTATTACTGTACAAGTTTAATTAATTTGAAATTAAATTAACTCAATATTCATCTATTCGTGTTTTTTTTTGTCAATATTTCTTTTGCTTTTGCATGAATAATGAATAAATCAATTAATATATGTTCGATCTTTTATAGAACTTATTAACGAAAGAGTATTTATAGAGTTTATTATTCTTTTTTATTTAATTATCAACTAAACACATTTTAATATTTAATTATATGAAACAAATAAGACGAGTTTATTCAAATACTAACTGAATTTTTCAGATGTTTATTTAGAGTTTGAAAACTCTCAAGTACTCTTCATTAATATAAAACCATAGATTCTTTATTTTGTTTTTTTTTAAACGATGCCAACCATTTAATTCAAATTCCAATAGTGCTTTCAATAGTCAATGAGTTTATCTATAAAACATATATCATACCGATATTTCATAGATTAACTATTAGAGAAAGATTTCTCAAGAATGAAACATTAGAGTTTTTAGATTACATAAAACTTTGAGATATAATTTCTTTTGAAAATCTTGGATTAAATTATGAATCATTCGATTGTCTATAAATCTTTTTTTTTTTAAACTAATAAGTATTACGATGCAAAATTGATCATAGTATTGCAAAAGACTTAGCTAAAGAAGACGGTATGTCTTCTTTTTTTTTGTGCTTTGTAATGCTTATAGCTTTTTGAAAAAAGATCTTAGAAAAAGCGTTGATTCTTCGTTTTTCTTTTAAATAGATATTATGCTCTTATAAGATTCTACTCTTAAAACTAATATATCGAGTCTTTTGAAAACATGAAAACTATCAAATCGATGACAAACATAAATGATATATTAACTGAAATAAAACTTAACTTTGATATAATATATGTTTTTATCCATTTTTCAATGTTAAGATAAATATCATTTCGTTTTAAACAATATTATTCATTTATTCATTTTGTTTCTTCTTTGACAATGAGTAGAGTAAACATAATCTATTATGGATATTTTCTATAATTAGCAATTCTTTAACTATATATATAGGGTGTCCAGAAAGTAACTCCACAAAGAATAGCTTACATCAGAGATGTCCATCGCGGCGCTGCCGCGGCGCTGCCGCTGCCGCTGCCGCTGCCGCGGTGGCGGTGGCGGCGCGGCAGCGGCAGGTTTTTAAAAAAAATCACCGCGGCAGCGGCGCGGTAGCGGCAGGTTTTTTAAAAAACCATCGCGGCAGCGGCAGGATTTTTTTGGAGGACATTGAAAAACTGTATGAATTTAATAGAATTTCACGATCTACAAATGAAACGCCCTGATATTGAATAAATCTGATGGACTAGTACCCATATCTCTGGTCAAATATAGTCACAGCAGTGAAATTAGAAACACTTTTTTGAAAATCGTCGC